TTATACTCACCGGCTAATAGATTAATGAAATAAATAAGTTGCCAAGTCGATTAGAGATGTAGAGACATAATAAAACTCATACTCACCACCTAATAAGTTAAAGTCGATTAGAGAATGTTATTAAGAAAATAGGTACAATAAAGTTTATACTCACCACCTAATAATTTAATAAAATAAATAATTTATCGTGTGATTAGGGCATAATGAAGTTTATACAATACTCACCGCCTAATGGTTTTAATAAATTGATTAGAGAAATACTAGTTTTGATTATTCTAAAATTGATCATAAAACCTATACTCACAATATCCTACAGTAATAGTTTAATGAAATAAAGGTATAAAAGCGATTAGAAAATATTTCACGTATTGTAATGTTACAGAAAATCTAAAAATAACATAGATTTCTATGAACTAAAAATAGTAGTTAATTGACACGTACTTTTTTCAAGAGGAAGAGGATTTGCGGTTGTTACGGAAAACATTGCCGCGAAAATTAACACCAAGGTTGACGAGAATTTGAATTTCATTTTGAATACTGTCTTTCTAATTTTTCTCTGTTAAGGGTTGAATTATTATATATAATAAGAAAATAAAATCCAATTCCTGAAAGAAATTAAACAAAAAAAATTTCTTACATAATTCCTTTTGAAATTCTTGAAGAAATTTAAACCGATCCTTCTTTTGAAATTGGAATGAAGTACTGTATTTATAATAATTCTAGGTTTTAAAATTTCATTTGATATTCTAGATATTTGTCTTTAAATATTAGCCACAAAAAAATGCTATAATTAATGTCCAAAAAATATAAATTTTATCTCGGAATATTCACAATGGGATCTTTCGTGACCATCTGTTTACAAATAGTTCCAAATTTTTTATGAACAAAAGAGAGTAGTATTATTTTCGCTCGGATATTTATTATTGGAAAGTATGGACATGCATTTGCTATATACAATTAATATTAGCACAAAACTTCATTATTCATCAGTCTTTTCAGATATCATATAACCAAAGCATTATTATTTTTCACTTAGGGTTTGTGTTGTCGCGCTATTTTATGAATCTTTCTTCTAGCTTGCGCTGCCATGTTTGTTTCTTTCCACACTCGAACGTGGTAGGCTCCATTATTATTTGTTTCCACACTCTATATGTGATGGGGCATGCACCGCCATGATGTTTTCCACACTTTATATGTAGTAGTGCATGCACCGCCATGATTAGTCTTCCACACTTAATATGATATGTGATGGCTTACTCGTTACGTAATGATAAGGCTACTACTGCCATTATTTATTTCCGGACTTGATGTGAGATGAGTCACGGTCAATTACTAAGGATGATTGCTTAAGATTTTGACATAGAAGGACGGGCCACATATGTGCAAACGGCATAAAGCACAGTCGCTAGTCGTGTTTATTCTCACGATGAAAGACATCCGATGGCTTGTGTCGCTGTCTGTCTTGTGTAATCAGAAATACTGGTTTTATATTAGAGTAAAAATAATTTTGTAAATGACAGCAAAATCATAAATAATTGATTACCAAGTTACATTCTTATTAAAAT